TTTTTTTTTTTTTTTTTTTTTTTTTTGCGTCCAAAGAAAATTTAGTGGGTTCGTGTGCACTTGCACTACCTCCATCCCCGCAAGAGATGAATTTGTTTTACTTAGTTAGAGAACTCTTTAGAATAATGTTAAATGTGAATAGTGAAGTTGCTAAAATCAATCACATCTTTTTAAGACAAAGCTACGCTGCTGTGCGTAGCTATTTCCAGAAGCTTTCTAAATTTTCAGCTCCATGAGATGCCTTCACCCTAGCTACGGTGCTTGACCAGGTTTGACTTCACTTAAGTAATGTGAGAAATCACGGGAGAATATATTATTGATATTAAATACTCAATATAATACAAGAGGTCATATTTATAGCTATAGTCTACAAAGTACATATTACTCCCATTCCAATGTGGGACTACACATAACTAACACTCCCCCTCAAGCCAGTGCATAAACATCATATGTACCGAGCTTGTTACATATGTAACTAATATGAGAACCAGTAAGAGACTTAGTAAAAATATTTGCTAGTTGATCATTCGACTTTACAAACTTTGTAACAATATTTCCTGAAAGTATTTTTTCTCTGACAAAGTGACAATCGATCTCAATGTGTTTAGTCCTCTCGTGGAACACCAGATTTGACGCAATATGAAGAGCAGCTTGGTTATCACACACCAATTCCATCTTACTGATTTCTCCGAACTTTAACTCCTTGAGCAACTGCTTGACCCAAACTAACTCACACGTTGCCATAGCCGTGGCCCGATATTCGGCTTCGGCGCTAGATCGAGCAACTACATTTTGTTTCTTGCTCTTCCACGAGACCAAATTACCTCCTACTAGAACACAATATCCAGACGTAGAACGTCTATCAAAAGGTGATCCTGCCCAATCAGTATCTGTGTACCCAACAATTTGCTCGTGGCCTCGATTCTCGAATAGTAATCCTTTGCTTGGAGCTGACTTTATATACCGAAGAATGCGAACAACTGCATCCCAGTGACTATCACAGGGGAATCCATAAACTGACTTACAACACTCACCGGAAAAGAAATGTCAGGTTTAGTCACTGTGAGGTAATTCAATTTGCCAACCAACCTCTTATATCTCGTAGGGTCTCTAAGAGGCTCCCCCTGTCCAGGCAGAAGCTTAGCATTCGGATCCATAGGAGAGTCAATAGGTCTGCAACCCATCATTCCAGCCTCCTCAAGAATGTCTAAGGCATACAACTGCATCCCAATGACTATCACAGGGGAATCCATAAACTGACTTACAACACTCACCGGAAAAGAAATGTCAGGTTTAGTCACTGTGAGGTAATTCAATTTGCCAACCAACCTCCTATATCTCGTAGGGTCTCTAAGAGGCTTCCCCTGTCCAGGCAGAAGCTTAGCATTCGGATCCATAGGAGAGTCAATAGCTCTGCAACCCATCATTCCAGCCTCCTCAAGAATGTCTAAGGCATACTTCTGCTGTGAAATAACAATATCTGAGCTAGACTGAGCAACCTCAATACCTAAAAAATACTTCAATATGCCCAGATCCTTAGTCTGGAAGTGCTAAAAGAGATGCTGCTTCAGATTAGTAATACCATCCTGATCATTGTCAGTAATAATAATATCATCAACATAAACCACTAGATAAATACACAGATTAGGAGCAGAATGCCGATAAAACACAGAGTGATCAGCCTCACTACGAGTCATGCCGAACTCCTGAATAATTGTGCTGAACTTACCAAACCAAGCTCGAGGGGACTGTTTCAAACCATATAGTGACCTGCGCAATCTGCACACACAACCATTAAACTCCCCCTGAGCAACAAAACCAGGTGGTTGCTCCATATAAACTTCTTCCTCAAGATCACCGTGGAGAAAAGCATTCTTAATGTCTAACTGATAAAGAGGCCAATGACGTACAACAGCCATGGACAAAAAGAGACGAACAGATGCTACTTTAGCCACGGGAGAGAAAGTATCACTATAATCAAGCCCAAAAATCTGAGTATATCCTTTTGCAACAAGACGTGCCTTAAGCCGATCAACCCGGCCATCCGGGCCGACTTTGACTGCATAAATCCAACGACAACCAACAGTAGACTTACCTGCAGGAAGAGGAACAAGCTCCCAAGTGCGACTCGCATGTAAAGCAGACATCTCGTCAATCATAGCCTGTCGCCATCTTGGATGAGATAGTGCCTCACCCGTAGACTTAGGGATATAAACAGTGGACAAAGAAGATATAAAAGCATAATGAGGGGACGACAGACGATGATAACTTAAACCGACATAGTGGGGATTAGGCCTAAGTGTGGATCGTACATCTTTGCGGGGTGCAATTGGTTGACTAAGAGGAGACAAGTCCGCAGTAGGTGCAGAATCTGATGCATGGCGTGAACCACCTGAGCCTAATGTTGGATGTGGACGACGATGATAAGTCAAGAGTGGTGGAGTTGCAGAAGGTTGAACTGGATTATGTGGAGGAACTAGAGCTATAGGTGGTGGAGCTTCAACTGGAGCTGCAGGTGGTGGAACTGGAGATGTAGAGGAAGATGAATGGGAGATAGTGACTGTATCTCCAGAAGATGAAACTGGTAGTACCTCAGAAATATCTAAGTGATAACCTGAACCTATAAAGTATGATTGGGTTCCAAAGAAGGTAACATCAGCGAACATAAGGTACCATTGGAGGTCAGGAGAGTAGCATCGATACCCCTTTTGTGTTCTCGAGTAACCCAGAAATACGCACTTAATAGCACGAGGGGCTAACTTATTTGTTCATGGAGTAAGGTTATGGACAAAACAAGTGCTTCCAAAGATACGGGGTGGAAGAGATAACAAAGGTAAGTGGGGAAACATGACAAAGAATGGAACTTGGTTCTGGATAGCTGAAGATGCCATACGATTAATAAGATAGCAAGATGTAAGAACTGCATACCCCAAAAACGCAACAGAGCATGAGATTGTGTGAGTAGGGTACGAGCAGTTTCAATAAGATGTCTATTCTTTCTTTCAGCTACCCCATTTTGTTGAGATGTTTATGGACAAGATGCTTGATGAATAATCCCATGAGATTTCATAAACTGCTGAAATGGGGAAGACAAATACTCTCGGGCATTATCACTACGAAATGTGCGAATAGATATCCCAAATTGATTTTGAATTTCAGCATGGAAGGTCTGGAAAATAGAAAACAATTTAGATCAATTTTTTATCAAAAATATCCAAGTGCACATGGAATAATCATCAATGAAACTAACAAAGTAGCGGAATCCCAAGGTGGAACTGACCTCTGACTAGGACCCCAAATATCTGAATGGACTAAAGTAAAAGGTGACTGCTCGATTATCAAGACGCCGAGGGAAATGGGAGCGGGTATGCTTACCGAGCTGACATGACTCACACTCTAGAGCTGACAAGTGAGATAAACCATATACCATTTTCTGAAGTTTTGACAAACTGGGATGTCCCAACCGTTTATGTAATAAATCTGGTGAATCAGTAACAGGACAAGTTGTTGAAGGAAGACAAGATGTGAGTCCATGTGATTTAGCAAGGATAAGGTAATAAAGTCCGTTTGATTCACGCCCGGTACCAATAATCCGCCCCGTAATGCGTTCTTGTATAAAAACATGGTCATCAAGAAATAAAACAGCGCATTTAAGTGATTTGGCTAAGCGACTAACAACTATGAGATTAAAAGGACTATTGGGAACATAATGGACTGAATCTAAAGGTAAGAAAGGAAGTGGGCTTGCTTGACCTATTGTAGTTGCCATGGTTTGAGACCCATTGGCCATTGTGACTCTTGGAAGAGATTGAGAATACGAAGTAGTAGTGAAAAGAGATTTGTTACCAGAAATATGATCTGATGCACCTGAATCAGTGACCCAAAACTCCGAGGATAAGATTGGGAGAAACAAGTCACGCTATTACCTGTTAGAACAACATAAGCTATCTTAGAAGATGTCTGCTTACATGCTTTGTGCTGAAGGAACTCAATATAATCTGCTACAGAAACCATCTGACTATTCAAAGTATCGGCTCCCATGTCGCTACAATTTGTAGTGGTAGGGTTAACTTGAAATAGTGGAAATAAGTAACTCCTATGGGAAAACTGAAGAAATAGCTGGGAAAACACTGCTTACAGCAGAAAACAGAAAATTATTTTGCGACGGAAATACTGTTCACATCGGAAAACACTGTAGCTCGCCGGAAAATTGTAAAGTTGTCGGAACCAGGATGGATAAACTCAGAATTACCTTGCGAGCAAGCTGTCCTGAAGAAATGTTTTCAAACAAAATGGCCGGAAAAGTCATTGTTCACGCCGGAAAAATATAAAAGTGGTCAGAATTTGATTTGAATTAGATTGGTAGGCTCAGAATTGTAAGGAGAGCATACTGTCCTGAAGAAGCTTCGCGAAAAAATGGCCGGAACCTTCGCCGGAAAAGTTGTTGCCGGCGCGTAGCAGCTTTTCTGCCAAATAAATTTTCAGGGGTTGGTCGTCGGAGGGTGATCTACCTCGTGGTGGTGTTGGTTTTAGCACAACACCGACAGAAAGTGACTTTCATGTAGACATGCCTTAGGTCACCGGAAAAATTGCACGATGACTAAGTTTTTTCTTTCCGGTTAACGCTGGAATGACGCACATCGATCTTTTCTCACTAATGCTCTGATACCATGTGAGAAAGTACAGGAGAAAATATATTATTGATATTAGATATTCAATATAATACAAGAGGTCCTATTTATAACTATCAAAGTACATATTACTCCCATTCCAATGTGGGACTACACATAACTAACAAGTAAAAATAGGGTCCAGGTAATATTATTTGTTATCCTACGGTCAAAACACAAACACAACATTTTATTTTCAAAAACCTACGCACAAAACCTACGCACACACCTCTCTCTCTCACCTTTGCACTCCTACGCACAAATGCACCTCCTCCGTCACTTCTTCTTCTTCTCCGGTCAGAATCCGACAACTCTAAGAATCTCAGGTATGTTTCAATCTCTTCTCTCTCGTTTCTCCATTCACTCGCTGGTACATCTCCTCTTGAGGTTGACGTTGATTACCCTTCATCTTTTGCTCAGAACCCAAGACATGAATACCTTCCACATCATGTATGTGCCGCGACGCTTGAGTTTGTTGAAGTTGCGCTTTTGCAAGTTGATTCATAGTGGTGGTCAACTCGGCAATGGCTTGACCATGATCTTGCAACTCCCTGTTGAGGTGAATCATATTCGGATCCTCTTGAGGCATATTTGCTCGGGATTACCAAGCGGATGATGTCTCCGCCATCTCATCAAGTATGGCACAAGCCTCCTGGTAAGGCGTGGTCATAAAGTTTCCACCTGCAAGTTGGTTCCCTAAACATTGATTGGTTGTGTTAATAGAAGTTTTTTTTTTTTTTTTGATGAAGTAAGAGAATTTCATTAAAGACATCAAGAAGATGCATAGCAAAAGAAACCCATGTTAAAACTAAGGAGCAGACACAATCCAAAAAATGATCACAACTAGATACAGGTGCCTGATTAAGCCAAGTAAAAAGGTTAAATAAACATTTAGCTCTAAGAGCATGATTTGGAGTTTATATCCCATCAAAACATAAGCTTTCCCTTTCGGTCCATATACACCAGAAAATAGAAGCAGGGACCAAAAGCCAAGTTCTTTTGATGGATTTGCCAACTCTCCAAGAGCACCAGTTTTCGTAGGCCTCTTTAATACTATTAGGCATGACCCAGGCTAGTCCAAAAATTGAAAAGAACATCACAAATCTGCTGCAATTGCACAATGGAGAAAAAGATGCCTCACACTCTCTGCCTTCATCTGACACATGCAGCACCTATTGACAATGTAGATGTTCCTCCGACTTAGATTATCTTGAGTGAGACATGCTTCATATAAGGTTATCCAAGTGAAGCCAATTACTTTAGGTGGAAGTTTAGTTCTTTAGATGAGTTTCCATGGCCAGTTGTCGATCAACTCCTTGTTTGAGCACAAATGTGCATAACCTTTCTTGACAGTGAATATCCCATCATGTTGGCCATCCCATAATAGTCTGTCTGTTTCCTAAGGTTTGATAGCGACCCCTGCTAGCTTAGATTGAAGCTCCAGATAGTCATTTAGCTCCCAGTCCTGGAAGTTTCTCCTTGTTTGTAGGTCCCATGAGTTGTTGTGCCATATTTGACCCACTGTGTAGTTTTGATTGCTAGCTATGAGATATAAATTTGGGTAGTCTTCTTTCGGAGTCTGGTTCCCTAACTACTTATCCTTCCGGAATGATACATGTGCTCCATGCCATAGTTTTATTGAAGATTTGAGCTGGAATTCACCCCATATGCTTGAGATATGCTTCCAGCGACCAGTGCCATGTGGTAATCTGCACCACATCTTTCCACATCCCAGTGTTCTCCATGTTGTGCCTCCAATGCCACTTCATTAGCATGCTCTTGTTGTGCAATGCTAGGTCTTTTATGCCCAATCCTCCATGCTCCTTTGGCAGAATCACTCTTGGCCATTTCACCAGATGAAATTTGTTGTTTTGACTATTTCATTCCCACATAAAGTTTCTTCTAATCTTGTCTAGCCTTTTCTGCACCCTGGCTGGTATAGGAAATGGGGACATGACGTATGTTGTTATGTTGTCCAGGACACTGTTAATGAGTGTTATTCTGCCCCCGAGTGAAAGATACTGCATTTGCCAAGTTTCAAGCCTTTTTTTCAAATTTCTCTACTACCCCATTCCAGATATCTTGTGACTTGACTTTGGCTCCAAGTGATAGACCCAAATATGTTGTGGGAAAAGATCCCACATTGCAACCCATTAGCTCTGCTAGCTCCTCCATATTTGGGACTGTTTACGGGGTAAATAGTGCTCTTCAATCTGTTCATGTAGAGGCCGGATATAGCTTCAAAAATCATGAGTGTGAGGTTAAGATAGAGCACATGCGTCAGCTCCACAGAAAATAAGCAGGTCATCTGCATACAAGAGATGAGAGCCACTAATTGAGTTCCCAACAGAACTTCCACCTTGAAACCCTCCAACCAGTGTATTTGGTTTGCTTTGTCAAGCATTTTGCTAAATGCTCCAACAAGGGGATCCTCTCTTACCCTTTTTGTTCATTTTGCTAAGGCCTTCCATTGCCAAAGTGAACAAAAAGGTTGAGAGCGGATCCCCTTGTCTCAATTCTTTCTGTGGGGAGAAGAAACCAACATGACCTCCATTGACAAGAACTGAATACTTCACAGTGGTTACACAAAACTTGATCCACCTGATCCAACCTGCACCAAACCCTATCTTCCCAAGTATATTGAATAGGTAAGACCAGTTTAGCTGGTCAAAGGCCTTTTCAATATCAAGTTTGAAAAGGAGACCTGACTGCCCTGATTTCTGTCTCCAGTCTAGTACCTCATTAGCAGTTAGTGCAACAGTGATTTGTCTTGTTTTGATGAATGCATTTTGATGCCCTGAGACAAGCTTCCCAATGACTCTTTTCAGTCCTTGAGTTCTATTGCACCTTTCTTCTTAGGAATCAGTGCAATAAAAGAGGCATTGCATGACCTGACCATCTGTCCATTTTGGTGAAAGTGTTGGAGTGCTCCCATAATATCTTTAATTATCTCCCATGATTTCTGATAAAATGCCATGGTGTAACCATCTGGACCTGGAGCTTTGTCTGAAGCACACTCTTTAATGACTGCTATAACCTCATTTTCTGTAAATGTTCTCTCCAGCCACACTTTTTCTTCCCCTGTGATTGTTGCAACATCATCAAACCTTGCTGTAGGTCTCCAATTCTCATTTTCTGTGTAGAGTTGCTGATAGAAACTAAGAATTTCACCCTTGATGAGATCTTTGTCTTCTGTAATTTCATCCCCTACTTTGAGTCTGTCAATTCCATTTGATCTTCTGTTTGCATTAGCCCTTTTCTGAAAAAACTTTGTGTTCCTGTCGCCTTCTTTGAGTCACAAGCATCTTGATTTTTGCCTCCACGATATTTCTTCTGCTTTGGCCATTTATTCCACTTCCATTTTTAGGCTTATGATCTTCTCTTTCTCTTCCCGAGTTTGTATTCTACCTTTAGTGTTCTGTTGCAATGTGAGAAGGTCTTCTAGTGCTTTTCTTTTCTTAAGCCTATCAATCTCAATTCCTCCTTATTCCAGATGGTAAGATCTTTTTTGAGTAGCTTGAGTTTTTGTGTAACAGTGAAGTCGGGATGGCCACTGACTTCATAGCTCTGCCCACCATGCCTTGACTTTATTCATGAAGCCCTTCATCCCCAACCATATGTTCTCACATTTAAAGTAAGAAGGGTTAGTGTTCCGGTCACCACATTCTAGCATCAGTGGAATGTGATCAGAGATGACATTAGGGAGAGCAATCTGATTGATTTTGCTAAAGGAATCATTCCATTCATTTGAGATAAAAAATCTATCTATTCTAGATGCTTGAATGATGTCCTCCCCTCTAGTCCATGTGTAAAAAGTCCCCTGCAAAGGAAGATCCACCAAGCAAAGATCTTGAATTACATTTGAAAAATTTCGCATGGCCCTGGATCTTTTCACACAATTGAGTCTCTCATTTTCGAATCTGCATACATTAAAGTCCCCCCTTATCACCCACTGATTAGGCCAAATCCCTCTTATGGCTCCAAGTTCACTCCACAACTCTTCCCTTTCAATGTTAGTGTGCGGCCCATAGACCCCTGTGTAAAGCACCAACTGAAGGCCTCATTTAGACTTTCCAACATACAAGAGAGAGAGTAAATCCCCTGCTGTATTTGAGTGCAATTCCACTGTCTTCTATCCCACATGATGATGATCCCACCCCTAGTACCACTGGCTTTGAGTTCAGCCCAATTGACCCATCTGTTGCCCCAAATCTGCCTGGCTAAGAATCTGTTCCACTCTTCTAATTTAGTTTCTTGAAGACAGAGAACATCTGGTTTCCACTCACTGATTAATGATTTAAGAGTGTCCCTCTTCCCATTATTATTCAACCCCTTTATGTTCCAGCTTAAAATCTCAACTTTCATCTGGAAAATGATTGGTATTTCCTATCCCTGTTCTTCTCTCACCCCATCATAATTCACCGAGCAAATCAATCTCTTGACAGTTTCTCCCTTCGTCTTCTTTGTTTTCTTGCTCCTATCCCTTGCTTTTGATTACCAGTTGTTGTCTTCTTTGTTCCATTCTCATAATCATGTCGAAGATTTCATGCTCAAAACCCTTTACGTTGATTCCAAACACCTTGCATGCTTTCCCATCACCAATTTGGTCCACTTGGATGTTTCAATTATAAAAGGATTCTGAATTCTCTGGTCTACAGAGTCGTACCATGGAGAGATGGACAGTCGCTGAAAGAGAGAGAAGAATGAGCAGAATCAGTGTCACTTACCAATGGTGAAGTGATCCCCATAGTTGGCGCAGGTAGAAGAAGAGGGTAACTCCTTTCCTCTGCTTCATCATCTGCTTCCAGGTGTTGTTCTGTATCTTTTGGTTGGTGAAAATCTGACGAGGATTTGATATGAGGAGTGGGTAATATAATAGATTGGCTATGGATTGGTGTAGTGGTAATTGGGCCTCTATATTTCCAGATTTGTTTGGGCCTTTTATAAATAAATTTCTCCTTTCTTTTTTCCCTGTTTTTTGGGCTTTTAAAATAGTATGCGTGGTCCAAAGTTTTTGTACCCGAAGGCCCAGCATTATCCGGTTTAAATGAAAATTGAACCGGCATCGATTCTTTGCAAAAGTTGTCCATCAATTTTGAATCCCTGTTAGGTCTGACCCCCACGTGATACTTCACATGCTTGTCAATAGACTTGACAATAGGTTTGGTGGGGTTTGAGGTGTTCTTTCCCTGACCCATCCCCTTCAGAGAAACAACGACCTTCTTTCCGGCGATTCGTACGTACTCATCTGGTAAGATTGCTCTTTCATATCTCCAATCACCCACTTCTAGCTCCACCTTGTGGAATCTCTGCTAACGATTCTTTCACGCAGATCCGTGCCCATATCAAATTGGTTCTTGATTTTGTATCTATGTCAATTCCAACAAAGCCTCCACATAATTCCCGATAGACCGGAAGGTGCTTTTTGACCAGACATTTAACGGGATACCAAAGGCTCTAACCTATTTTTGATCTGAGCGTGGCTTTGCCATGTTAGACCCAGTCACCGACGACCACCATTTAAGTGATAACTTTCTTTATTCCGAAACCACTCCCCTGCTTTAACTCTCTCGGCTTCCTGCTGTGATGGCAGTTGAAAAAGGAATTGATTGTGAGTTAGACTTGTTACACTGATTCTTGCTGTGACTTGCCATCTCCTAACGAACTAGTTCCGTAACACCTATGGTGATGGTGAAGGACTGAATGGGTTGTTGCGAGTACCAATTAGGACAGTAGATGAAAGATTGAGTGCTGTTGCTTGCGTCTGGTATGATTTTGACTGTATTATCCTCCACCACAACTTTCCCACGGTAAAAGGTTTGTTGCAATATGTTCTCGGTCATATCGTTGTTAGGACATTCCTTCACCACGGTTCTATAGCGTTCCCAAATTTCATTTAGTGGCTCATTTGGTTCTTGCTTGAATGCCAAGATTTCATCCCTCAAAGTAGCCATGTGCCAGGGTGAGAAGAATTTGGCAATAAACTTCTCTGCCAACTCATCCCAAGTATGGATAGAATGGTTCGGTAAGCGCTCTAGCCAATCCAAAGCCTTTCCCCTTAGGGAGAAAGGAAATAACCTCAATTTCAAAGCGTCCTCGGACACATTTATTTGCTTACTTCCCCAACAAGCATCTACGAATCCCTTTTAAGTGCTTGTATGCATTTTGATGAGGTGCTCCGGTGAAGTAGCCTCTTTGCTCAAGCAAGGTAAGCATGACATTTGTAATTTGCAAATTGCCCGCATTAATGCGAGGGGGGACAATTGTACTTGCATAGCCATCATTTAATGCGACATATTGTTGAGCCGGTTAGCCATGTGGAGGTGGTGGTGGTGGAGGCGGCGGAGGGTGGTTTTGGTTTTGCCCTCGACCACGGCGGTTTCCTTGAACCGGAGCCGCTTCTTCATCTACCATATCTTCTTCAATGGCCCCAAGAGGCAAATCACCAAGGTCATTGTTGTTCGCCATTGGTAACCTAGAACAAGCACATACGAATCAAAGTATCACGAAGTAAAGATAAGAACTCAAGAAAACACACAATTACAAAGTAACACAAGAACACCGTACTCCCCAGCAACGACGCCAAATATTGGTGACGTCCAATCCTGCACCTGTAAAGGAAGTGTAGCACGATCGTTAGCAATAATAAACCCAACAAAGGTTGGGGTCGAATCCCACAAGGAGTAGGTGTGTGTTAGAGTGTCCAAATGTGTATAAACTTGATAATTCTTAATGTAATCTTCAAACAAAAGGTGGTTGTTCAATTAATTTAAAAGTTACTTCTAAAATTACTATGTAAACTAGTCTAGGAATTTTATCGAACACTTAGAATACAAGTAAAGATATAGTTGTAACAAATAAGAGAATGCGCTAAGATTGTTCCCCTTCGTGTAGGCTATGCTTTTGGGTATACAAATATTCAATTCTAGTTAATTAAGCATGTATTATGACCTCAATTTCTATTCTACCAACTTAATGTCTTCCAACACTTGAGGTTTTTACCTCAAGTTGCTCTTCCAAGTCAACTAAGGCTCAATGATAAGCAATTGATTAATCCAAGTAGAAATCACACTATTCCTAGCTAGATTTCATTAATCAAGTGATTAACCCACTTAATTCCTTGCTAATTACCTTGTACCTAAGCAAAATTCCACTTTTCCTAGATAGAACAAGCAAAATAGGCATGTATTTAGTGTTTGCAACCACAATCAATCGATAAAGCATGGAATAATTAGATAACACAAAGCTTGATCAAACTTGAGAGTAAAATTAATAACCCAAAAACATCACCACACTTAGGTTTCACAATCCTAGCTTAATAAACTTAGCTAGACATATTAAAGAAGGAAAATACAAAAAGAGATGGAAATCTAAGCATAATAGCTAAAGAGGAAAGAAAGATTGTGTAAAACAATGGTGACGTCACCCAAAATCCCAAAGAGGAAATCCCAAAAGATGCTACATAATTATTCTTCCAAAAAGATCCCCTAGAGTGACTTAAAATAACTATTTATACCAAGTCCCACAAGTAGACAAAATTGCCCTTCGGATGGCATAGCTACGCAAAAGGTGGTGCGTAGCTACGCCCAACAACTCTCTCTTGTAATGCTTCAGGTCTTCAGTTGATGTAGGTAAGGAGCGTAGCTACGCATGGCAACATAGCTAATTCCAGAACACTATAAAATCTTCAGCTTCTAATGCCTCAGTAGCGTAGCTACGCACATCTTCCGCTTTTCTTTATCGCTGAATACATATGTAGCCCTTCAAACTTGTCCCATATTTCCACCTAGACACTTAAACTAAAGCTTGTATCTATTGGCAGTGTTATCAAAGACGAAAAGCGCAAAAAAGCTCCACGGCCCATTGGGGCTTTAAGCGCAAAGGGCAAATAAAGCGCGGACTTTAATGAAAAAAGGCGCAACTGGAGCAAAAAGTAAAAATATGTATATGTAGTCCAAGACCAATAATTATAAGCATGAACAACAAATATATGGACAAAAAAAGTTGAAGAAAAAATAACGATAAAGTGAAATATCAATTGTTCAGTGTCGCATTTTCAGGATTATACTCATGGGCAAGGAAAGTATGCTTTAGAGCCTTGATGCGACACTGAAGCGCCCGCAAAGCGAGGCGAAACGCTCAACATGTTTTGAGCCTCGCTTTAGGGCTTAAGCGAGCCTTTGACAACACTGCCTATGGGACACTTAATCTCTATTGAAACTGTCTTATTAGGCATAATTTGCTGAGGTGGCACAATACGTGCATAACACAGATTTTTGGAGTGTGGAATGCCATACCTTTTAATTTTTTGATTTTTTTTCTTGTCACCCCTCCCTTCGCCGCCGCCATCATCACATACCATTAGCACCACTACCTTCACCCAATATCAAACACTACCCTAATCCTTCTACCTAGTCTCTATCCTCTCTACCTTAGCAGGCGACTGCAGTGGCAGCACTGAAGCACTACATGAGAACCTTTAACGGAGCCATCGCCAAATACCGACAATAGCTGACTGCAACTGGATAAGGACAATAAAATTTTTCCGAATATATAGGTCCCCAAGCCTTCCAAAATCAGCACATATCTCGATTTCCAAGCAAGACAAAGCTCCAATCAATTTTCCCAGCTTCAATTTAATTTCTGAATGAATTTCCACCATTAGAATCTTCAACTCGAATTCCCAACACTGAAGGTTTTTTTTCCTTGAAAAATTTCACCTCCAAATTCATAACCACAATGTTACAACTCGAAATTCTATCTCAGTAACGTTTCAGATCAATTTTCTAGTCAAACGGTAATCCGAGGCTTAAAATCAAACTTGGAACCATGACTTAAACAAGATTAACGGAAGGAAAGCTACCAAAATAATCGTGTACTCTTTTTTGTTATGATATTTGAAAATGAAAGACAGAGAGAAATTTGATGGTGTTGTGTGGATTTTGAAGGTGCAGCTCAGTGGGTGTCTACAATGGAGGAGTTCGGTGGCGTGAAGAAGGAGACGGTGGTCTCCATGTTTTTCTTCTTTTTTTCCTTTTTTCTTTCTGATGTGTCCTTCAGTGATTGGTGATTTTCTCCATATCATCGGCGTGTGATCCACACATTTTATATCTTTAGTTTATTGTTTGCAAGGTGTTTAATAGGTACAATTTTAATAGAGATCAAGTGCCTAATAAGTACAAGTCTTAGTATAAGTGTCTAGGTGGAAATATGAGACAAGTTTGAGGGGATCTGTATGTATTCAACCTTTCTTTATTTTCATTCTTTTAACACTTTTAAACTTCCATTCACCATTCTCATGCATGTTTTTGATACTTTTCTTTTCCTCTTGGCTCTTTAATCACTTCACACCCTGTAACTTCATCATTTAAAGCATAATTAATCAATTAATTCCAACAAACAGAGCATAAAACTCTATCAAAACACTAGAAAAATTAGTTGAAATGCTAACTTATCAAACATCAACTACTACTTCCTCCCTCCCAATTTATTTGACACTCTTTCCAATTTAGGACATCCAAAGATGTTTGACACTATTCCATTTCTATGCAATTTTTTACAATTTTCAAGAATTTGAATTCGTTAACTTGTTCAGATTTTCTGTAAATTTGAAAGACTGCACCTCCTTGGTGCAGTTGTTATATATACAAAATTTGTTACCTTCTCCAAAAAAAAAAAAAAATTGTTCAGATTTTAGGACTTCAGCGTGATATTTTCTCCATCGAAATCTAACTTTGCAGCCATTACTTTAATATTTTCTTTCTCTACCACTATATAATATACAAGTCAAAAATTAACATTTTAAACTCCATTTGCAGTCATTGGAAGGGGAGCCTTAGCTTAACTAAAGTTGCTGCCATGTGACCAAGAGGTCACGGGTTCAAGCTGTGGAAACAGCCTCTTGCAGAAATGCAGGTTAAGGCTGCGTACAATAGACCTTTGTGGTCCGGCCCTTCCCCGGACCTCGCGCATAGCGGGAGTTTAGTGCACCGGGTTGCCCCTTTTAAACTCCATTTGCAGTCAAATACCGCCATATAAAATGGATTGGAAAGACCATTAGTATATATCGTTTGAATTCTTGAATGAAAAGTTTGCACTTATTGAAAGGGTTCCAAGAAAACTGGGATGGATCACGGATATAAAAGAATGATGACCAAGTAAATAAGGACGGAGGTGTTAGTAACCCTTAGACAACTTGTCCTAATTTTAAAAAAAAACCTTCCACAGACTTGACAGCTATTCCGAATGGGGCAATTGTACTTGGTAGTTGTCTCATTTTGTTAGCCATAGAAAGTCCATACTTTTTTTGGTCAAATAAATTTTTTATTCAACCAAGTAAAGATTTATACACAGCTAACTCTTTTGGACTCAAGAGTTAGTTCTCTAGGAAGATTAAAACTATACTCTAATTCTATCTATGCAGGGTAACAATTCAATCTATCTAATATACTCTTCCATTTACAATTTCTCTGCCCTTTAACATGTAACTGTATAACTATTTCCTTCACCCTCTGCCTAGCCTCTTGCTTCCTTTGTTGAAATCTTCTTGCATTTCTCTCTGCCCAGATATGATACACAGTTGCTGCAAAGAGAAATCCTAGAATATGAGCCCTTGGTCTGTTGTTGATCCTGCTTGCTACCCAAGTGACTTCCTCCTGCCAAGTGCCAATGTTCCTTCTTATTCCCAACCAGCCTAGGAGAGTATTCCACACCTGATGTGAATAAGGACAGTCTAATAGGATATGCTCCTAGGTTTCCTCTGTGTCAGATTCACACAGTACACACTCTTTTTCAACCTGTATTCCCCATCTCTCTAACCTGTCAACAGTAGATAGCCTGTGCTGGATTGCTAACCAGAGAATGAATTGATGCCTGGGAATAATACTTTGCACCAAAACTGTTTTCTTCCAATCTACTTTCTGAAACTGAGGAGTGAAGAATTGATATGCTTTCTTAATGCTGAACTTTCCCTGTATTTCAAAGCTTTTTAACAGTACCTCAGGGTCACCATGATTCACTAGCCAGCTCTTTGCTTCCAATATCTTCCTAACTAGCCAACAAGCTTGGTTAGGAATAGGAATTTGCACTAGATCTCTCTGCTTTATATAGAAACAGTGGATCCATTTTACCCATAGGCTATCCTTTTTTTGAGTAACAGCCCATAGAAGCTTACAGATTGCTGATTTGTTCCATCTATAGAATTCCAGAATATTTAATCCTCCAGCAGACCTAGGCATGCACAGTTTTTCCCAAGCTACTAGCGCTTTTCTGGAAACCTCATTTGTACCTGTCCATAGGAATGTTCTCATACATTTGTTACCATAGCGATGATCTTTTTTGGCAGTAGAAAGATTTGAGCCCAGTAAGTCTGCATCTCAAATAATACACTTTTAATCGGTTGCAGTCTCCCACTGTAAGATAGAAATTTAGTAGACCAGCATCTAATCTTTGCAATCATCTTTTCTACTAGTGGCAAACATTGGTGTATTTTGAGTTTCCTTGAAGATAGTGGTACTCCTAGGTATCTAAATGGCATTTCCCCAGCAGAGAAGCCCATCTCCTGAATGATCTGGTGCTTGAATTCACTGGACACCCCTGCTACATAGAGTGAACTTTATCAATATTGGCTTTAAGCCCAGAAACTCCAGACAAGTGATTAAATGCCTGTAACATTAACTGGATGGAGATTCTATCTGCCCTGCAGCACATTAGCAAATCATCCGCAAAACAAATGTGTACTAGATCCAACTTTGAGCATCTGGGATGGTAGTTGAAATCAGGGTTTTGTTTCAAGTTCTTCAGGGATCTATTCAAATACTCCATAGCCAGGACAAATAGGTAAGGGGACATTGGATCCCCCTATCTTAGTCCGTTTTTTGCCTGAAACCTTGTGGTCAATCCACCATTAATCAATAGTGAATAGCTGACAGTTGAAACACAAGCCATGATCCAGTTGACCATCTTCAAAGGGAAACCAAATTCAAGCAACACCATCTGTAGGAATCCCCACTCCACTGAGTCATAAGCCTTATGTTTATTTTGACAATACATCTAGGTGACACCCCTTTCCTAGAGTATCCTTTGACCAATTCATGGGCTATTATTACATTGTCCAGAATACTTCTCCCCTCAATAAAGGCTGATTGAGATGGACCTACAATGAGATCCACTACTCTCTTCAATCTAGTAGTCAAGATTTTAGCAATTAGCTTGTATAGAGTTGAACAACAAGCTATTGATCTAAATTCTTTGACCATAGTAGGAGCTGAAACTTTAGGTACCAGTGTCAGAGTGGTACAATTAATCTCTTTTAGAAGTTGTCCATTTTCAAAAAACTGTAGTATTGCTGTTATTACCTTTGCTCCAATAGTATCCCAGTATGCTTTTAAAAAACTCAGCTGGGAAGCCATCTATGCCTGGAGCTTTGTCATTTGGTAGTTCCTTGAGAGCCTGTATCACATCCTCCCTAGTCACAGGTTTAACCAGGTCCTGTTGCTGTGCTGCAGATAGACAAGGTCCATTTCTTGCTACAGCTATGTCAATACAAGGTAGCTCTGTTGCAGAGGTGCCTAATAAACTCTTGAAGAATGTGATGAATTCCTGTTGGACTGACTTTGGATCAGTGATTAAAACTCCCTGTTCATTCTGAATGGAAGAAATTCTGTTTCTACCCTGTCTAGCTTTCATGTGAGCATGAAAGAATTTGGTATTTGAGTCACCAGAGGAGATCCATGTAGCCCTGGATTTCTGTTTGAGGACTCTTTCATGAATGACATCCCATTTTTCCATCTCCATCAATGTCTCTTTTTCCTCATTTATAAGCCTGCTATTGAATAAGTCTTCTGCAAGATTGTCTTGGATATCACCTAGCTTTTGTTTCAGATTAAGCAATCTGCATTCTAATGAGGAGTATTCTTTATTCAAATGCTTAGCTTCTAACTCCACCAATTTCAGTTTCTGCCATATACATACAGTGACCTCTGATATTCTGCTGCCACACATTTTGGACAATTATCTTGAATGCTTCTTGTTGTAGCAGAACATTGAGAAGTCTGAAGGGGCTTTTCAGGTATTGTCTAGCAACTACAGTGTTGATCACTATAGGAGAATGATCTGAGCACTCAGGGTTGAGATAATTGGCTTCAATACTGCTGTTGTCTGTAACCACTCAGCATTACCAAACACCAATCAATATGGTTGTATATCCTGTCAGGGACATCTTGTTTATTACACCAAGAGAATTGCCAGCCTTTCCTAGTCACTTGTCCCACCCCCAAATCAGTAATGCAATTTTGGAAGTCAATTGTTTCAGTAGGATGGACTAGTACCGCATTGACTCTATCATCACTATGTAGAAGAGTATTGAAATCTCCCAATATGATCCAAGGGCCATTTATAGTTCCTTTTAGTCTTCTTAACTGTTCCCACAATGGTTTCTCTTCAGTGATAGTATTATACCCATAGATATAGGTTAATTCACAATTAAACTGAGATAACCTATCCACAATATGACAGTGAATCAACTGGCAGAACTAGAGAGGATAGTCACTGCAACTGTTGCTCTTCTCCAGCCAATCCAAATCCTTCCATTAGGTGCATGAGCACAATCTGTATAAAAATCCCATTCCACCCCAAATCTCCTAGTAACTTTTGTAACTTTATGTTGTTTTACTCGTAGTCTCTTTAAATTTCCCAGCTGTCTGGGGAGTTGTATTAATTGGAAGAAGTGTACAAGAGGGGGACTAGACCTTACCTCCAACAATACAACAATAGGATAAAACGTTATCCTACAAAAATCAGGGTAGTGGTGGGCAAGAATAACCATACCCTGCGAATCGATAATGTGATTTAGCTAACAAAAGAATTGGCCTTGTCGAACCTTGATCTTAAGCTTGGCATCTGCCCAGTGTTTTGGAGAGCGAGAAGCGGAAAAAAGCGAGGAGGCCTCGCTTCACCGAAGTACGAAATTTTTTTCAGATTACAGAGTATTTCAAAAAGTGAAGCGAAGCACGCGCTTTTTTCATGTGAAGCGCAATATAACACATAAATAGAAAAAATTAAATAGGCATAGATAAATGACCAAGAACTCAATAAAAATAACATTTTAAGCAAATGTTTCAATTATAAATTAAGAAGTAAATAACAGATACTAAAACTAGATAGTCATTAATCCTCAAAAAGTCAACATATTAAGCAAATGCAAAACCAAATCACAAAAGGAACTGTTAAAACATGGCATAACAGTGACCAGCAGAAAACAGAGCAGTGAACAGCAAACAGCAGAAATT